CCCTTCCCAGCTCTGACGCCACAGAGCCTTGCCTGTGGCCCTGTTCCCATTCCCTCCCTTAGCAAAACATTATTCCAATTCCCCCCCATTCTCTGTTTCTATCCCCCCCTTACTTCCTGATTGACTGCAGAATATAAAAACTTGAGTTCTGCTTAGCCATACCTTAACCAATTATTTTAATGAAATTTAACTGACCAATTTTAACATATTGTAACATGATTATTTAACCAATGTGACAAAGTTCCTCCTCTATCTTGGTGGGTCCTGCGCTTATTGGCAGATTTTCTTGCCTCAGAGATTCACCATGTGGGTTGGGGAACGGCCCAGAGACCTTCCCCTCTGGAAGAACCCACAGTCCAGGTCAATTGGGAGGTTTCGGGGGGAACCCAGGCCCGCCCTCTACTCCGGGTTCCAGCCCAGGGCCCTGTGGACTGCAGCTGTCTATAGTGCCTCCTGTAACAGCTGCATGACAGCTACAACTCCCTGGGCTACTTCCCCATGGCCTCCTCCAAACACCTTCCTTATTCTCACCACAGGCCCTTCCTCCTGGTGTCTGATAACGCTTGTGCTCCTCAGTCCTCCAGCAGCGCATGCGCGCACACTCTCAGCTCCTTGCACCTCTTGCTCCCAGCTCCTCACACTCCCACCACAAACTGAAGTGAGCTCCTTTTAAAACCCAGGCGCCCTGATTAGCCTGCCTTAATTGATTCTAGAAGCTTCTTCTTAATTGGCTCCAGGTGTCCTAATTAGCCTGCCTGCCTTAACTGGTTCTAGCAGGTTCCTGATTACTCTAGTGCAGCCCCTGCTCTGGTCACTCAGGGGACAGAAAACTACTCATCCAGTGACCAGTATATTTGCCCTCTACCAGACTACTGTACCCCACTGGTCTGGGTCTGTCACACCAGTTATATCCCACCACCTTAATTGGCTTACACCCAACAAAATTAATTATACAGAAGACAGAAACAATCACAGAACCAAACAGAGATTACACAGATAAATAATAGGGAAGTGATAGAACAACACAGAAATGAGGATTTCACACCCCAGCTATTGATGAGTTCTTGTCAGACAGGATGCTATCAAACTAAGAACAGGGCCTCAGACTGTCATGGTGAGAGAAGGCCTATAAACAGGCAGACTGTGATTTTGATTCTTGATTTGTACCTCTATAACTAGCTAAGTGATATGAATACACCTACATTCTTCAAGTCTAGGCCTTTGCTTACAGGCCTGAATATCTATATCCTAATACTCCACCCCTTTTTTTTTCCCCTTTTTCTTTTGGGATCCTTCTGCCCAGGTATCCCTGGAAAAGCATAGGACATGTGGCAACACATTTTTTGTTAGGGCCAGGCATTAAGGTGGAAGGTGTTGATATTTTATTTGTTTTACTGCCTCTTTGTGTAGTATAGTGCCCTGCACCTTCTCTCCTATGGGCGTACCACATCTGTTTTAATTAGTGTTTCAGACTTCCCATTATAGCGGGCCCAAGAAGGTTGGATTCCGATTGCTTGTCCCGGCCGGGGAGCCTGTCCTAGCAGCGTCCGCGACCCGCGTGGGGGCAGTTTGGGTTTCAGGCCCTGGCGGAGCCCAGCGTGCAGACTCGGTGCGGGGAATCGGGGCAGAGGCAGCCCCCTGTGTCTGGGGATGGAGGGGCCGGGCTGTGGCAGGGTGCGGGGTCTCCTTGTTCAATGCGTTTCCCTCTCTCTCTAGGTCTCCACCATGAGCGAGATGAAGAGCTACTCACAGGCTGTCACTGGAGTGCGTGTGTAACCCCGACTCTCCTCTCGGGGCTGTGTGTGGGGGGGGGTAGCCCCACAGAACTGCCCTGGGGTGGGAGGGGCCAGTTTGAGGGAACCATGGGGTGGGAGGTTGGTGCCCTTCCGTGAGTCTAAATCACTAGTTGGTGCTGCATGGTGGGTGAGCTCTCCACCCTCTCGTGCACCTTGGCCTGGCCCCGCCCCTGGGGCTCTGCCCAGCTGGCCCCTTCCCCTTGGGCATGTTGTGCCCGCTGCCCTGCCCATCCAGCCTGTATCTGTCCCGAGCAGGCACTGCTGCCTGGCTCAGACCATGTGCTCTCTGGTGACCTGGGAAGGGCAGGACAAAGACCTCCTTGCCCAGGAGCAAGTCAGTGAGTGCCAGGGTCCCAGCACATGGAGAAGACTGCAGCAGTGCCCTGCTGTGCTGGGAGCTGCACAGACGGTCTCTGCCCCACTAAGACACCCTCCCTCTCCATTGTGCTCCTGTGGCTGGGGGGCTCCGGGTGGGCTGTGGAGCCAGCGCCCCGCCCTACTAACTGTGGCCCATCTCTCGTGCCTGCAGTTCTTGGCCAGTATGCTGACGTATCCCTTTGTGCTCGTCTCCAACCTGATGGCCATTAACAACTGTGGGTGAGTGCCTCGCACGCTGTCCCGAGCCAGCTGCACCCTCCCCCTGCGACGCAAGGGCGTCCGCCCCAGCTCTGAGGAGCAGGAGACGCAGCGGCTCCTGTACAGGAGGCAGGGAGATGCAGCATCTTACTCCCACATCCTATAGGGTTTGATCCAGGATGATGATGTTCCGGCCCCTCGGGGGCTGGGGAGAAACCCTTCAGAGGGGGAGCGGAGCTGCTGTCATCGGCTGCTGATGTGGAATGTGAACAGCTGGCACCGGCAGGCGAGAGCGCTCTGCCCAGCCTGACGTGGAGCTAGTCCTGGCTGTGCTCGCAGCTCACCCCTGCCCCTCACGCAGGCTCCTGTGGTTCCCCTCTTCCCCAGACGCTTGGCAGCCTCTTGGGCTCCCTGGCCAAGGCCCTGCAGCTCCCGTCCCATGTCACGCTTGGCAGGAGCAAAATCACAGGTTGCAGCCTCCAGAATAGACCCGGGCCTGTTCGGGTGTGACAGCCGGTCCCTGCCCGCCCTGCAGTACAGCTGGGACTTGGTAGGGGGGCGGGGGGGGGAGTTCTGCCCTCCTGAATCAGCCCTCCCCACCCCCTCGGGAGTATTGCCCTTGGCCATCTCACTAGGGAGCATCAGCTCTGTCCCCAGGAGAAAGGCTGCTCCCCTGGTGCCCGTCTGCCCCGCTGTAGTGTTGGGGGCGGGGGCAGGAAGCTCTGGCCTTGGGGGAATGGACAGGGGGCAGCTGGGGATCCTGGGACCTGACTGAGCTGCCTGGCTCAGGCCCCGTTAAAGCGACGTAGCCGAGAAGGGCTCAGACAGGAAGTGGCGCTTGGGAGGCCAGGGAGCTTCTGTGAACAGACTGCGGTGACCGGCAGGGGGTGACCCAGCTGCTGCCCCCCGGGCGACTGGCTGCTGCAGAGGCCGTGGTGGGGCGCAGCTTGAGCTGCATTTGTAGGCTCGGAGCAGGGCTGTGTCTGTGCCAGAGCACGGTGCGCTTGTGGCCCAGTCCCCATGCGAGGGGGGGATCCGGGGCACATGGGACATGGCTCACTGCTACTTCCTCCCCCCTCTCCTCTCTTGCAGGCTGGCTGGTGGCCTCCCCCCCTACGCACCCAACTACTCCTCTTGGTTAGACTGCTGGAGCCAGCTGCTCAAGGAGGTACGTCCCGGCCTCGCCCCAGCCCCATAGCACACCGATGCTGTGTGTGGGGCAACCGTGCCTGGCACTCATCTCAGGGTGGGGGTTATAAAAGGGCTGGGAAGCGCTGGCCCTGCTTTATGGCTAGGAGGGCTAGGGGTGGGGAAGGGCTAGGCAGACTGGGGCCTGGGTGACAGGCAGAGGGAAGCTGCCCCGGGGCAGGGCAGGGTAGGGCAGGGCAGGCCACCCTGACAGCCATCTCCTCTCCTCTCCTCTCCATGCAGGGGAACATGAACCGAGGGAACAGCCTCTTTTTCCGGAAGGTGCCTGCAGGGAAGCTGTACGTGTGGGAGGAGAAGCGGTTCCGCTGAGGCTGGAGCTGGGCGAGGGGCCCGGGGCCGGGCCAGAGGCTGGGCCAGATGCACTGAATGATGGGAGAGTGGTGATTTCTATACAGTTTTTTAAATAATGATTCAATCTTGGGAAATGGAGACTGTGTGCAAGTTTGAGAGTCAAAGTTACGGGGCAACGCAGGCCGGCCGGCTGGGAGTGGGGGCACTGCTCTGGGGGGAGAGCTCCCTGGCCGCCGGGGAGGGTGCTGTGCCCTGGTGGGACTGTGCCCTGGCTGGGGGCAGGTCTGGCTCTACCCCGGGTCTGCCTGCAGATGTGCCCCCCCTTCTCTGCTGTCGGTTCTGGCTGTGAAGGAGACACCCCACACTGGCCGGGTGCCCCCGGCTGGGACCCACAGCGCTGCTCCCGGTCGTGGCTTCCCAGGATCAGTGCTAGGCCCCAGCTTTTAAACCACTCCTTGGAGGAACCCTGTGACGTGCCAGCCCCCCAAGGGGTCTCTCTTCCTCCAGGGCCGAGCACACGGCTCCAGCCCCCCTGCTTCACGCCACGAGCTCTGCCCGGCACGTCCCACTGAGCCAGACCCCTGGAGAGACCTGGCTGCTCTTTGGGGACCAGCGTCCCCAGCCAGTGTTTGCAGTGACATCCCAAAGCCTTTTCCACACAGCACACGGTTTATTGGTCCCCTGGAACCCGGCCTGGGAGGTCCCTGGGGCAGCAGAGAGAAGTGAAGGTGAAGACACAGGCCAGGGCCCCACCCAGCCAAGCTGCTGAAGAGCCAAACATGGATCCTGTCTCCATCTCTTTCAGTCCTAGCTGGGAGCTCCTGAGTCCCACCAAACGCCAACTCTTCTTTGTGGAGCCTCCGTTGATCTGGGTTGGTTTTGATCCTGAACGCCCAGTTCCTGCCCCCCAGCCATGTGACACTCCCCCTCCTGTCCCTGCTCTGCCCCAGGAGAGGCTTTTTAACTCTTTGGCACCCACTGGGCAGACATGAATAGTACAGTGGGAAACTGAGGCACACAGGCATCAAAACTATTACAGAAAATTCACTTTGTCCCACCCCCTGAGAGGAAGGGGATGCAGGTCCCTGGGGCCTGCAAGGAGCCAGAGTGCCCCTCCCCCTCTCCACACTGCTACTGACCTACCAGCAAGGGGGAGGAGAACCTGCCATGTCTGCTTTGTGTGGGGGGTCCTCTCCCCCACAGCTCACTGGCTCTGCACCTGGGCCCAGCTACACGGGGAGGGAGCAGCCTGTGCACTGGGGCTGGCAGGGGGCAAGTCAGTCCCAAGTCGCCTGCCCAGGGCCGAGGACGTCCATTCTGGGGGGCAGGGAGAAGAGCGGATGCTCCTCCCTGTGTTCTGGCCGAGCAGGCCTCTACGGTGGGGTCCTATGGCCACTCCCCTCCCGCGTGTAGTGCACCATCATCAACACAAGCCCTGGCCTGGCTTTCCAGCTGGCTGCTGGCCCTGGAGCAGCCGTGCAAGGCCAGCACCTGTCCCCTATCACCACAGGGGAGGTAAGGGGTGGGCCACAGCTGGGACATGTGGTTGAAGCCCAAGGGAGCTTGCACCAAAGCTCTGGCAAGACCAGGCACAGCTCCTGGAAAGGGGACCCCCCACCACCACAGCCCCAGCCGAGCAACAAACTGCCTGGGAAAGGGAGTGGGAGAGCGCCCCCTGCTGAGCCCACAGCACAGGGCACGGGAGGCAGGACTGTGAGCGGAGAGCGCCCCCTGCTGAGCCCTCACCCTGCTCTCTTTGGGGCCAGCACTGACTGCGAGGGGAGAGCGCCCCCTACTGAGCCTCTGCCCTCCTCCAGGGGATAATGGAGCATGAGATAGTCTCCTCTACTAGGCCCCAGCTTCCCAAGGGCTGACAGCTGAGCTCCCTTGGTGGCTGGTCAATGTGTATCTTTTTCGGGGGTGGCAGGTCCCTGGTCATGGCTGGGCTGTGTCCCCATCTCCTCCCCTCCCCCAGGGCTACATACTGCTGGAGCGTGGCTGTCCCCCAGAGGTGGGTGCAGGGCCCTAGGCCGTGTCCCCTTCTCCTCCTCTCCTCTCCCCCCGTGCTATGTGCTATTGGGCGTGTCGCCGTTCCCCAGAATTTGGCGCAGGGTCCTTTGCCGAGTCCAGGGCACTGGCTGGCTGGGACTGGATGAACCCAGGCCTCACCATCAGCTGGTAGAACACCCCAGGCAGGATGCGGAAGCCGAGGCGTTGCAGGGTGTGCAGCGAAGGCTCATTGTGGGGCAGCACTCGGGTGTATACAGGGAAGCCGCGGGCATGCAGCTGTGCCGCCAGCATCCCCACCACGGGCCTCGTGTGGTGCTGGCCGCGATGTTCCGGGAGGGTGTAACCGTGCGTCAGGGCAGCCAGCGGGTCGGTGAGGGACCAGGAGATGGGGGTCCCCTCAGGGGCCAGCAGGCAGGCGTTGGGGAAGTGGCGGATCAGGTGGCACAGGTACCGCAGGCTCCAGCTGTTCCCCCCAAAGTTCCAGGTGTCTCTGAGCAGCATGGCGTGGGCAGGGGACACGGGGGCCAGCCTGAGCCCCTTGTCAGGCCTGCAAGACAGGGCAGGGGGGAGAGAGAGACAGGACGGGGTGGGGTGAGCACAGAGGGGGTTGACCTGGCAAGGGGAGGATGTCAGTGCGTGGGGGGCAGGGGCAATAGAACCAGCAGGAGAAGGGGTAAGTCTAGGGGAGGGGAGCAGGGAGCAACCAAACATGGGAGGTGTGGACATAGGGGGATATTGACCCAGCTTGGGGCGTGGGGTGCAGTGAACTGGGGGCTGGGAGGGTCGAACTGGTACAAGGGAATGAGCCCGGGGAGCAGAAGTTGAGCTGGTATGACATGGCATAAGAGAGGAGCAGTGTCCAGCGATGCCATCCTCTTCCCAGTTGTGGGGCTGAGATGAGCTGGACAGAAAATTGGAGGGGATGGGGGGTTGCCGAATCTCAAACTGGGGGGCATGGAATGTATCCTGTGGGGGAGGAGTGTGCCACCCAGCTCGGAAGGCAGCGCCATCGCCAGCAGCAGCCGAGACCGACGGGTGGCGTGGTATGGCATTGCCATCCTTACTGCTGCGTAACGTTTGGCCTTTGCACTGCGAGGGGAGGCTATGGCAAATTCTGGGGTGGCTATAGCCCGTATAATGCTCTCCCCAGTGCCCCCCATGGAGGGGAGGGAGGCTGGAGGGGGAGTGACCTGGCACAGGGAGAAGGGGGAGTCCTGGGGGGAGGGGATCAAGAGAGGCCCCAGGACATGGGGGAAGGTGACCCCTGGGGGGTAGGGGATTGAGCAAGGCCCCAGCACATGGGGGGAGGGGATCGAAACACTCCCGTGGGCTCAGCACAGGGGCTGTCTGACAAGGCCCAGTCCAGCCCCAGCAGAGTCATCGCTGTTGATGGGCCTTGGCTAAGCTCTGCCCGGAGACCTACCCGCTGACAGGAAAGGAGGGACCAGGGAGCTCTGTGCTTGGAGCCCCCCTCCCCTCAGAGGGGACGGCTCTGGGGTCAAGTACACCTGGCTGCCCGTCCCAGGATACTGAAGGGTTACAGGCTGCCCCTCCCCCTGCTCTCCCCATCCTGGGACCAAGGAGGTTCCTTGGCCAGGCTGGGCTGCCCCTGCCTCCTGGTGAAGTTCTAGGGCTGACTCAGCCCTGCCCCGGAGCAGGATGGGAAATCCTTGGCAGCATGTGCCCAAGGCCTGGGGCTGTGTGTGGGGCCGTGGTGATGCCCTCACTCTGCCAGCACTGTTAGCCTGGGGAACTCATTGCCACCAGATCTAGGGCGCAATGGAGGCCTCTGGCCTGGCACCCCGGGGTCCTTCCCTTCCCCCAGCCCCGCTCCTCCCTCCATCTAGCACTGGCTGGTTGTGTACATTGCCCCATTCTCTCTCACACACCCCATATCTGGGGGGGCACCTACCGGTACTGGGGCATGGCAGGCGGGTCTGGGTGCAGCAGCGGCCGGTACAGATACGTCTCCATCTCAAGCCCTCTGGCCCTGGCAACGTCCCTGATGGTCTCGTATACCCCGTCCTGCAGCCCTGCAGGGACAGCCGTGCGCTGTCAGCAGGGGCCCCTGAAAGGTGCCCATGGACCTGGGGGGCCCAGCCCGGTGCGGGAGAGCAGCAGGGAGGGGCCAAGGGCCACTGTGGGCCGGCATGACCCAACCGGGGGTTCTCAAGCTTGATTCATTCAGGATCCCGGGTCTGGATGGAGAAGGGGCCCAGGCAGGATCCTCAGGACTATTGGCCTGTGGGGGGGGGAGCGGTTCCACCCCCCATATGTCAGGTGCTGGACAGAGCGGGGCTGGAGGGGCTCACCCTGTATCTGGAAGGCCTGGCCCCAGTCCACGGCACAGCTGTTCTCCAGCAGGGCCCGGCAGGCGCCCTCGTCCCGGTAGAAGGCCGTGTACAAGTTGGTGAAATAATCGCTTGGGTCCCGCGCCACCTGCAGGGGGAACACTGTCTGTGGGTGAGCGCAGCCTCTGCCCCCTCCCCCCATGACCCTCAGGGACGGCATCGGGGGAGTGGGGCACAGCAAGCCTCAAGTAAGAGATTGAGGAGGGGGGAAGGGGCCCTGTGAACGGAGCCAGGGGGCTTAGGGGAGAATGGAAAGGGGCTCTGGGCAGCAGAAAGGGGAAACAGGCTGTGGGGAGGTGGGGCAGACAGAAGGGGGAGGGGTAGAGATGACACCAAGCAGGGAAAGGGGCAAGGAAGTCAGGGAGGGGCAGTGATGGCGTCAGGTGGGGGAGGGGAGCGAGGGAGCCATGGCGAAAGGTGGGGGAGGGGAGCGGGGCAGATGGGAGGGGCCCAGCAAAGGCCGCACTTCTCTGCGTGGCCGGGTCAGGACCATTTTGAACTCTGGCCATGAATCCACCAGTACCTCCTGGCCAGCCGGGTTCCCGCGGTTCACATGCATCACAGTGCCGTAGACCTGCCAAGACACAGGGGTCAGAGTCCGGGGATGTCCCGGATCCCCAGGATCGGTGCTGGGCCCCAGCTTTTACTCTGCCCCTTGGAGGAGCCCTCAAAGTGCCAGCCCCCCAGGGGCCCCACTCTTCCTGCAGGGCAGGCCACCGCCTCTGAGATGGAGCCTCTGGGCTCCAGCCCTCCTGCTCCACCCCGCGAGCTCT